AGAAAAGCCTATGCATTTAAATAAATGGTTGAGAATGACTTATCTTTTCAAATTGATGGCCAGTTGTACACAATCAAAGCATTGAAGATACATTCGAAGTATTAAGAGTTGTTTCGAAGGTTGATTACTTCGCCTTCGAAGCTGTATAAAGTTTTGAAGATACATTCGAAGCATCAAGAGTTGTTTCGAAGGTTGATTACTTCACCTTCGAGATTCGAAACATCAAGAGTTGTTTCGAAGGTTGATTACTTTACTTTCGAAACTGTATAAAGCTTTGAAGATACATTCGAAGCATCAAGAGTTGTTTCGAAGGTTGATTACTTCACCTTCGAAACTGTATAAAGCTTCGAAGATACATTCGAAGCATCAAGCCTAACCTTGAAACTTCATTGTAAGTATCATCATCCTATATCAATGCTTCCAACCTTCGAAGGGTGATGTTGTTCCTTCAAATTTATGCCGCAAGACTTTCGAACGATGAATTTGGTCTTTTATACCACCTTCGAAGCTTGTTATTGGTCATCTAGTCATAATTTCATGCTCATTCGAAACACTTTATTAGTGCTATTATATCATTCGAAGCACTTTGTTGATATTATTCGAAGCACTTTATTGCTTAGATTAGTCATGTGCTTGGTTCGGCCCTTCAAAAATTCAAAGTAAACATCATTTTTAAGGGCCGCGGGGGGTAATGTTGGCATCATAAATCTGTAATTTTTTGCAGGACATGTGGCATCCTCTTATTTATTTGGAAGTTAAAAGAAGTTATAGAAATGATGGAGAATATAAAGGACAAAGTGGATGAGTGGAAGGACACATGGCAAGACAAGAATAAAGATGGAAGAAATGGGTAGTTACTAAGTAGTTATTGCTGTATTTTTTCTTCTATAAATAGCCATTAATGGCTACATTGTAAAAGGATCCAGAACTTAAATCAAAGACAATTGATTTCAATATTTCTTGTCATTTTCCTTATCTTAGGAGTAGTTTAACATAAATTTACATTTCGAAGCATTTATTTTCAGCATTTCCATTTCAAAGCATTTTGTGCACTTCCTTTTCAAAGCATAAGAGTAGAGGTAAGTAATTATTACTTTGATTGTTCACTCAATCGTCTTTCTCCGTCCCTCTTTCTTCGTTTACTTTTTCTTTTCTCTATACTTGACAATCTTGAAGTCCTCTTCGTTGAGGCAAAAGAACCGTCAATACAATCGCTTGATAGTTGGCTTCAATTTAATCTGTAAGGATTTTTCAATCCTTGCTGGCACGCTCGTATTTATGATATTTTCATTCGTAGGAAAAATAAGCCAACACAAATGTAGTGGTGTTAGTGAGATTGGTTTGTCTTGTTTGACCTAGAATACATTTTTCATATTTGGGAAAATAAAAAATATTTTTCATCCAAATTATTTGTTATAAAAATTTGGAATGTCCAGCATACGAGTCTTCATCACCTCTTAACCCCTTTGCAATTGACACTTGGTGATGACGAACTTGAAAAGGGAAAAAATTGTAAATTTGAAAATTTACAAATAGATACCTCCAAGAGTTTTATATAAGCATATTTAGAATTAGTTAGACTTTTATTTTATTTAATGGATTAAAATATTGTTAAAACAAATTAATAGCTTGTTATTTAGTTTTAGAAGTTTGGATTGTTTTTTGATAGTTGTGTAATTTGTCAAGGAACTTTATGGTGTGCACCCATTTTGGGGTGCATATCATACTCACCTTATTATAAATTGGTATAATTTTATCATAAAACTTCATCACGTCAATAACAAAATGCATAACCTCATCACAAATTGACGTAATAAAAAATGTTATAACCAAATCACAAACTTTTGTTATATAAATCACAAAATTTTAGATATTTAATTACGTTAATTTATGATGAGATTACATATTTTATGATTAATATTATAAATTTTTATAATAAAATTATATAAATTTATAATAGAATGCATAAAATATACACCCTTAAAGTGGCGTGCAAGATAGGCTTTCCAATTGTTAAACGGGGCCGTAGAGTTAGTTGTCCATGAGTTTTATTAGCAGTCATCAAAGCCCATAATAAACTTTTGAAAATATTGAACTTCAGTGCATGTTTCCAAAAAAAAATTATTAGTGATAAATTTATCAAATTTAATAATTAAAGTTATAATTTTTTTTTTAATTTTTTTTATGAATTTGTAAATATTTTGTGAAAAGACAACTAATTTGCAATTTGGCCTAAACTTTTCATCTAAAATTCCTATAAACTTTGCTTTATTTCATATAACTTCAATCCTAAAAGTTTTCCGCCACCAAAATCTCCCACAAAATCAACTCGTAAGAAGCATTGGATTGAGTTTTGAAAGTTGTTTTACATCAGTTTGGTATCAAAATTTTAAAACCCTACACTTTCCACCATTTTTTGATAAAATTTATTTCTTTATTCAAATGGTGAAAATGGCCAAATTAAATTTTAAGTTTGAAACATTCTCAAAAGATTGTGTGACTACTTTGTCAAATTGTTATAGAGTGAAGTGCATACTATAAATACAATTTTGAAGGGATTGAAAGTTTACATCAATAATAGAATGATTGGCCAAAGAAATTATTGTGATACTTGAAAAAACCAAAACAAGATCAACATATATAATCGACATTAATGAGATAAAAGAAATGAAAGTCAAAATAGATGTTGTTATTGACGAATCTGAGAAGCTCACAAAAGCACTGCAACACCAGCCTAATCTGTTATATAGTTTACATGTGCAACATTATAATCTAATTATACTTATTGATTGTAACACTGACTCAATCTATTGAAAAGAAACTCTCTAGAGTCTATAGTTTACTTGTACAACAATACAGTCTAACTATACTTATTTATTATTGAATTGTCGACCACCAACTCATTTAAAAGCTTAAGTTGTAAGAGAAAAAACCAACTTTATTATTTATAGTATATTATCAATATTTAAAAACTTAAGTCTGTAAGTGAAAAGTTTATCTATTATATATTAAAATTTATTTATTTTTTACATTTTATCCAATACAAAACTTTACCTTCACACATTTCAATAATTTCACGTTGGTATGTGAACCGAACATCGGACATAGCCTAACTCCGTCTATGGTAGCCATTATTCCATTACATCATACAATTTTTTGTTGTGAGAAAAATATTGAAGAGCTGTCAAACAATTCCCACAATATTGCACTGCTACCCACAGCTCATTATATTCCCTCACTAACTATTTGCCCATGTGCAAGGCACATATAGAGCCCCCCACTTGTTTACACAGAGTCCACACCCTCAAGTGCCAATGTTGGCTTGTCTTATTACATCTTGTTTCTTCTTGTTGCTTGATGTTATTCTCTTGTTTATCTCCTTTTTCTCTTAAGCAATCATTAGGTGCAATAAAAAAATTCTAGAGTAAAATCTTGATCTAAAGATTGATAATGTTACATCATATTAGTTAGACTCAACCATAGTTACTTGAAACTCTTGTTAAAAGGAAGCCTATTTCATATATACATTGTTTCCCAAGCTGATGATGTAAACTCCCTAAGAATCAAATTAGGGAAAACCTATTCTGGTTGAAGTGAATCTTTTCTCATAGACTTCCCTGTAAGATTCTTGGTCATATTATTATTATTATTTGTGTTTGTACCATCTCTAAGCTCTGTTTGATTGTATTTTTGTTTTCCTTTTTCTGTTGATTTTTCAAAACAAAACAATGAAAAGTTCAGAAACACCCACTTGTCAAAATTGTTTTTGTACATATGAAAACAAGTTTTTGGTGGGTGATTTTCAGAAAATTTCAAGAAAAAAACAGTTTCCAGAAACAAATTTCCAAACAAAATTATGTTCTTTTTAAAATATGAAAACAGAACACAAAGCAACATGCCTTTTTTTTTTTTAAAGTTACATTTCCCATTTCCAATCTCCCAAATGGGTCAGTGAATTGAACTTGAAAGGCATCATTGTAAAGCTTTTCCTGAGAAAAAGAAAAAAAGAAAAATAAAATTCAACTCAACTTGGGAAAATCTTAAATCTTGATTTTCATATTGGATTTATTTGAACTTGAGAAGCTAAAGTTTTTCAAGTGATATCAAAAGCACAATTGTGATAAGAGTGATGTTTCGTGTAGACTAGGCCCCAAAGAGAAACTGTTGGATTGAGACAATTCAAATGTGTGTTTTTCCAAGTATTATGAATTCTATGTGCCTAAGCCAGGACACGACTAGTCATGGTGCAAAGTGGATCTCTTAAAATTATCCTTAGGGACTGTTTGTTTTCTTCAAAATGGGACAAAAATTAGACCAAATCATTGTATCCTTGACTGGATTCCAAACTAATCTCTGTCATTTTCAGAACAAACAAAGTAGATTATTAGTGTCTACTCGTAACAGAAACAACAACTACATTCCTTCACCTGTCACAAATCATTGCCTTCCTTGGATGATTTCCATCCCCCTAACATGGTCATCAATCATTGCACATGCCTTCACTATTCCTTGCATCATTTACTAATCACACTCTCACAACACACAAACTTGAAGAGAGAGAGCATTGGCACGGGATTCTTTGTCTCTAAATCTCTTTGTTTTTTTATCTCAAAACCCTTATAACCGTTAGACTATATCTCGAGATTTTAACTTTTATCTAGTGAATGAATATTTTGAGACAAGAAACATATATATTTCGCGGAGGGAGGATGCTTGACCGTATTGGTCAAGTTTGATAAGTACTTGTTGTTGGCCGTGTGTTAAAAGAAGAGAGAATAATATTAAGAATCTGTAATATCTAATCAGATTTGGTGAAACATGAAATACAAAAAGAAACAAATGCACAATAGATTACAAGAGTTACATCCACCACTATTGCTGTTTTCACTATGATAAAAAATGTTGTAAGAGATTAGAAAGATAGTCACGTCACCTCAATCATAAATACAAAAAAATTAGGGCAATAGGCCACAACTGTGAAAATACCATAAATACTGTAATTGAGTGGTCAGTGTCCAATATTTATCCGGATCCACAATATCCCACAAATAATCTCTCTGTTATGAGTGCCTGTGTATGATCTGTTTCTCTCAATGTACAATGAATTTGTTAAACTATGATGCTGTCCATGTGTTGAAAGGAATCCAAACACACTGTAGTTTTTAGCTCTTTCCTTCACCAGTACTTGATTGAAAGCAATATGGGAAGCAGATCCCCCATGTGATCACGACACTTTCACTCTCTTCTTTTACCTGTCCTTTTTGCTTTCACTCTCTCCATATATGCATAAACTATATCAAACACTAGTAATACTCTCTTTCAACTCATCCCATTATATTGTGTTTATATATATTGCTTGGTACATCTTTGATCTTCCAAATATTCTAAATGTTATTGCAGATGGGCTTCCAAGATGACCGGTGGAGGACTCGCTATGAGAAGCTAACAAGCATTGATGATGAAAAGGCAGCGAGGCCTAGAAGGCGATGGGTGACGAAAATGAATGGAAAACTCAGAGGTCTTAGGCTATCACGGTCTAGGAGGGTGAATTGGAAGGCATTTTCCATAGTCATATTGCCAAGAAAAATTACTGATATGTATGCTGATATTGTCAGTAGAATGAAGATGGATGATATATGCCCGACAATCGTCTTCTCTGGCCCATGGGGACTTCCATTTCTGTCCCATTCCAATGCTAAATGCAAGAGTGCCATCTCTCTTCATAGGAACCTGGCTTGCTTTCAGTGACATTGTTTCTGACAGTTTATATTGTTTGGGAAGTGAGGATCCTAGTAAGTAATGAACACTAACCACTCGATTGTGGATCCGACTCACGAAGGGGTAGAGAGAGCCCCCTTGCCCGAAGGTAATGATATTTTTGGTATTTCGTACTTGTGACATATTGCCATTTTTTGTATAAGTAGTTGAAGTGTGAGCGACTATCTCTATATCTCTTGTAAGCTTTCTGATCAGAGTGAAACCACAACATCCATGGGCATAAACCTAGTTTTGGGGTGAACTACATCAAACCTTATGTTCTATGTATGTGTTTCTTGTACGTTTGTTCTTTCTTGTGTCTCACCGATCCTGGTTAAGTATTACGGATTCCCTAACATATAATGAACTGCTTCAAGTTAAATTTGCTTTTGAACTGTTCTGTCTTCATTGACAAGAGCAAAACAGATAGTGTATTTTCTCGGTTAAGTGGAAAGAGGAACTGTCTACTTTAAAATGTGTTGCCCAAAGTGTTTTTCTTGCTACTAGAGACGTTCAGAATTTGGTGATTATGCACATATTTTAGTGGTTCTTGAAGCAACAGAAGAAAATTTTCTACTAACAAAAAACTCTATATTGAAACTCTAGATTATGAATCATTAATCCAAACCTTGTTTGTGACATTAAAGTTATGTTTGGATCATGAATTTATGGAGAAAAAATAAAGGAAGATGAAGAAGGTAACAAGAAAATTAAGGGAAAGAAGCTAAATTTATTTCATCCAAGATCCAAACATAGCATAAGGTACATCCTAGCGCTGATAATGGCCTAAATCCCAACTTGCAACTCCTTCATAACTGTTAATTGCATATTTATGTAGATTAAAAAAAATAAAATAAAAAATAGGGGTACCCATACTTTTTGGAATAAATTCAGATCAAGTAAATATATCAAGGTCACTAGATCAGGATGTGTAAATGTAAATGACAACCTGATCTGATTTCTTTCTTATACACCCATTCAACATGAGATGATTTAAGAAACACAATGTTCTATCAGAATCAAAGCAAAAGCGAAAGGATTGAAATCTTGGTGCTCATGAAAATCAAAAGCTTGTCATTTGTAACCTTCCAACCTTTTATAAGAAGTTGACAACCATGGGAGTGAATGGCAGGACAGAGAGGATATTTAAAATTATAATACATTGAAAGCAAGGGAGACTTTTTTTGACCCTTTGGAACAGAAAATAAGGCTTACATACATAGCTTTACATAAAAGTCTAAACTAAGCGTTTTGTGTAACCGTACATAATTTGATAATGATGTACCAGGCTTCTCACATACATGCAAGATGTGAGAGGCCTGATACATCAGAAGTACCGGTTACACAAAATACCACGTCAAGGTTGAGGAAGCCCAGCCAGGTGACCTTTGGGGGCAACTCCATTCATGAAAAGAAAATAAGAGTCTTTGACACTAAATTGAGGCATAAAAAAGCGCCCTATCTTGATCTTAGAACTGATCATCTTCTTTCCTTTCTTCACCGCGTGGAGATGGTTCGACAGTGTGCTATTCAGATTCTGATGATCATCACACATCTCAGGCTCTTCCTTGATCGTTGCAAGCTTGGTCTTGAGTATCTCCTCTATGTCCTTCCTCGAATCAGTCCTCAAACACTTCCTGCTTGTGCACGGCACCACCACCACCCACCACATCCTCCGGCGCCCCCTCCTCATTTCCCCTTTCAAAAATTCCAATCTTATTACCCTTCTATTGAAATTTTAGACCCTTCACTTGACAATCACATTGAGAGACAAAGAACAACCTAGCTTGATATGGACAGCTCTTTGTGACCCCTTTCATAGATATATAGTATGGAGTTTGAGATGATGAGGGGGGTCTGAGGAAGGTGGGTATGGTTTGGTTTGTATTGGTTGTAAAGGTAAGAGGGGGGTCGATGGAGGTTTTGCTTTTAAAAGCCTATGCCTTTTCTCTCCTTTACAGCATGGTTTTGATCATGGTGTGAGCTTTTGCTTAATACATTTGCCTTTTCTTTCTACCAAACCTGATTTCTTTAGGAGACATCGATTGATATGAAAAGAAAGATGTAGTTCTATAATTCTGTTTTGGAGTTGCAAGTTTTCTTCACTATTGATTCCCCAATAAGTCGAGGAACACAAATATCAAATACAGAATATGACATATATGTCTTATATGAAATGAGTCTCATATGTGGATCTCATATCAAGTGGACCCTATTCCATATGAGACATATGTGTCTCATTCTGTGTTTGGTATTTATATTCCTAACATTACTCATTGATTCCCTTCCATGAATGGCCTAAAAAGTGAACCACACATTTCTTAAGAATCTTCAATTTTTTACCAACTCTTTTATCAAATTAAAATTTGATGAAACATTTGGTAAAAATCATCTCCAATCTTTACATCAAACTTGTATTAAATCAAATTTTTACGAATTTTTCATCAAATCAAGGCAAAAATAAGCTTGTTACCAAATTTGATGAAAGAAACTTTTGGGAATAGGTTTGGAATTTTTAAAAAGATTTGATGAAATGGTTAAGTGAGGATTGGAGCATTCAATTTTTTCACCAAATCAAACATTTAATTAAGGGTTTGGCTTCCCTTCAATCCAAGATCAAGATTGGAGGACGTTGTTCAGGCTTGTGAGATTCATCATGAATTTCGTTTTGATGATTCGAATAATTTATTTTGTAAGAATTTTCACATATATTATTCATATAAAAAAATTAAATTGATTTAATAATCGTAATTTATTTAATTTATTGCATTTGTCTCAAAAAATAGATGATAAGTGTAGTATTTTTTAAAAAAGACCATCTATTTTTTTTGTGACAAACGTGTAAATTGAGTAGGTTACAATTAATGGATCAAGCGATTTTATCTTATTTTTTATGAATAATATACACAAATAACCTTGTAAAATTAACAATTGAAATCATTAAAATTGTACTTATGGTGAACTCTACGGATTCGATAGCACTCTTCAATCCATCTAGATCTAGACCGGAGGTAATGCAAACTCTTTTAACTAAATTTGATGAAAAGCTATAAAATTAAACTTTCGACTAATTTTTTATTCAAATTTAATGAAAAAGTAAAATAAAATAAAGATTTGGTGACAATTTAAGATGAATATTTTATCCTAGGTGTTAGGTAATTCTCATAGCTTCTTGTACTATGTGTAGAGTATTTCTCAGAGTTTTGAACCAGCGGATTAAATAGGTTGGATAAGTTGAATTTATGAATACTTTGTCCTAGGCGTTAAGTAATTTACATTATCTTTGGGTTGAGTGATTTGGAAAGAAAAGAAAAAAAAATAGGGTTTCACTTTGGTATCCGTGTTGTTGGGTCCGTGGGGCTCACCACGGGTCTCATTTTGAAAATCTGAACCATTCAATGTGTAGAACTTGTCGAGTACTATATACCTGTCAAAAATCACGTTGATCGGATATCGATAGCTACGTGATCAAAACAGTTTTTTTATCAACCGTTAATTTATGCACCGTCCATTTTTTTTTATATAAAACTGATTTGTGATCTAGTCCGATGGTAGACTGGACCAAAGCCAGGCCCAAAAAATAAAGAGATATGTATTATTGAAAAATGACTTTTGTAAAATTTTTTTTTGCTGACTTTGAGCATTAATTAAGGTGAGATCCAAGCGTTATTTTTAACGTTATTAATTGAGTTCATGTTTAATGCTGCGTAGTGAATAACATCGTGTATTTGGTTACACAAAATCATTTTCGGATGAATGAGAATTCAACACGCGTTTTCGGATTCCTGAAAATGGCTTTAGATGAGTTTCCTACACATTTGTGAAATGTGCTTGTCCCACATTGGAAAGGCTTAAGGATTTGTATGGGTTTATATACTCTAGCTTGGGATACTTGGGATGGGCCCCAAGGGGTACCCAAGTTTGTGGAAACATGAGGTTATGGGTAAAGTGAGCCAGACCCATTGGATCTAAAACAATAAACACGCGTGCCACCGTTCGGTCGGGGTCGGGCGCGGGTACGAGGTTGGGTTAGGGGACCAAAAACATTTGTATTTTATTTATTTATTTTTAATTTTGGTTTCAAAATCCAGATTTTTCTTTCACCCGAACAGGTTTTCTACCTTTTGAAATTCAAACTAAACAGATCTATTACTATTCAAATCTGTCCAAACAGGTTTTCTTCCTGTTTTATATGTCCGAATAGGTTTTCTACTTGTTCGGAAAAGCCACAATTCCACATATAAATAGTCTGCCATCCAACAATTCATTGGTATCGATGATTTTTCAAAAAACTCTTCTTCTATTTGTTCTCCAGTGATGCTGCATCATTTTACCATTTAGTTTCTAGGAAAAGAAAGAGAAAGAGTTACAGCATTGTTTGGTTCGCAAGACTTGATTTTGTAGTACTGCAAATTAAGTAGTAGTCGTTCCATCCTGGGAAGTAGACGCCATTAAAACTCGAAGTATCGGAGCAAGGGCGAAATCTACTTTAAAGAGATTGTGTCCAACACAAGCCTTGACGTTTAAATTTTCTGTAAGCATTTAATTCAGAATTTAATTTGTTAAATTATTTTCTCGATTTTTTTATTTTGTTGTTTATTTTATTTATGCATTTAATTTATACATACACACCATTGGGAATAACAATCTTAAAGTAGATTTCTTCTTTGTTTGTTTGTTTGTTTGTTTTTTTTTTTTTTTTTTTGGTGTTAGACAGACGAATATTTTGTTTCCAGAAATTAAATAGTAGTCATATACTGTTTATCATTAAAATTTTGTTACAAAATATTATTCTGTATATTTTGCGTGTAAATTCTATTAAGTATAATTTTTGTGGTTGGTGCATTTTTATTTCGTCAGAAATATGAATATTGAAACAAACAGTATTGAGACTGTTATTTCTCTGACCTCCACTCCTATTGTGCCAATGATGACTCCGACAGTACTGGTAAATCATGGGAAAAAGCTAAAAAAATTCAATGGAAATGATTTTAAAATATGGCAACAAAAGATGATGTTTATCTTACAACATTGAATTTGGCTCGTTTCACTGATGAAAAAGCTCCGGCACTAAACGAGGGAAAAACTGACCGGCAAGTGGTTGCCGTAGTCAATGCATAGAAACATGGTGATTTTCTGTGTCAGAATTATATCCTCAATGGGTTGTTCAATACACTGTATAATGTATATAGTGTCAAAAGCACTACAAAAGAATTGTGGGAATCTCTAGATCATAAATATAAGACAAAGGATACCGGTACAAAGAAATTTGTTGTCGGCCATTTTCTGGATTTTAAGATG